TTTCTTCGTAGGACAATCCCCGTAGCTCTGGGACTAGTCTTGTTGCAAACCTTTGCACTTTCTCTAATTTCTTGACGTGCTTGACTAGTTGTGGATTCCAAACTGGTGCTGCATACTCCAGTATGGGCCTGACGTAAATGGTATACAGAGTCTTGAACGAATCCTTACTGAGGTATCGGAACGCTATATGTAGGTTTGCCAGGCGCCCGTATGCTGCACCAGTTATCTGATTGATGTGCGCCTCAGGAGATATGCTCGGTGTTATACTCACCCCCAGATCTTTTTCCTTGAGTGAGGTTTGCAGACTTTGGCCATCTAAACTATATTGTGTCTGCGGTCTTCTTTGCCCTTCCCCAATCTTCATGACTTTGCATTTGGCAGGGTTAAACTCAAGGAGCCAGTTGCTGGACCAGGCTTGTAGCCTGTCCAGGTGTCTTTGTAGCCCTGCCTGATCCTCATCTGATTGGTTCTTCTCATTAACTTCACATCGTCAGCGAACAAGGACACTTCTGAGTCTATCCCTTCCGTTATGTCATTCACATATACGAAGAACAGCACAGGTCCTAGGACTGACCCATGTGGAACCCCGCTTGTCACAGACGCCCACTCTGACACCTCGGCACGTACCATGACTCGTTGTTGCTCCCTGTCAGGTATTCTCTGACCCATTGCAGTGCCTTTCCTGTTATGTGTGCCTGATCCTCTAGCTTTTGCAGTAACCTCTTGTGAGGAACTGTGTCGAAGGCCTTCTTGAAGTCCCAAAAAATGCAGTCGATCCACCCCTCTCTCTCGTCTTACTTCTGTCACCTTGTCATAAAACTCTAGTAGGTTTGTGACACAGGATTTTCCCTCCCTGAAACCATGCTGGTTGTCAATTATACACTTGTTTCTTTCCAGGTGCTCCACCACTCTCCTCCTGATGATCTACACACACGCACATATATATATATATATATATATATATATATATATATATATACATATTTTTTTTTTTTTTTTCTCAACAAGTCGGCCGTCTCCCACCGAGGCAGGGTGACCCAAAAAAGAAAGAAAATCCCCAAAAAGAAAATACTTTCATCATCATTCAACACTTTCACCACACTCACACATTATCACTGCTTTTGCAGAGGTGCTCAGAATACAACAGTTTAGACTCCAAACTGCCAATATCCCAAACCCCTCCTTTAAAGTGCAGGCATTGTACTTCCCATTTCCAGTACTCAAGTCCAGACTAAATGAAAATAACCAGTTTCCCTGAATCCCTTCACTAAATATTACCCTGCTCACACTCCAACAGATCGTCAGGTCCCAAGTATCATTCGTCTCCATTCACTCCTATCTAACACGCTCATGCACGCTTGCTGGAAGTCCAAGCCCCTCGCCCACAAAACCTCCTTTACCCCCTCTTTCCAACCCTTTCGAGGACGACCCCTACCCCTCTTTCCTTCCCCTATAGATTTATAATGCTTTCCATGTCATTCTACTTTGATCCATTCTCTCTAAATGACCAAACCACCTCAACAACCCCTCTTCTGCCCTCTGACTAATGCTTTTAATTAACTCCACACCTTCTCCTAATTTCCACACTCCGAATTTTCTGCATAATATTTACACCACACATTGCCCTTAGACAGGACATCTCCACTGCCTCCAACCGTCTCCTCGCTGCTGCATTTACCACCCAAGCTTCACACCCATATAAGAGTGTTGGTACTACTATACTTTCATACATTCCCTTCTTTGCCTCCATAGATAAGTTTTTTTAACTCCACATATACCTCAACGCACCACTCACCTTTTTTCCCTCATCAATTCTATGATTAACCTCATCCTTCATAAATCCATCCGCCAACATGTCAACTCCCAAGAATCTGAAAACATTCACTTCTTCCATACTACTCCTCCCCAATTTGATATCCAATTTTTCTTTATCTAAATCATTTGATACCCTCATCACCTTACTCTTTTCTATGTTCACTTTCAACTTTCTACCTTTACACACATCTCAAACTCATCCACTAACCTTTGCAATTTTTCTTTAGAATCTCCCATAAGCACAGTATCATCAGCAAAAAGTAACTGTGTCAATTCCCATTTTGAATTTGATTCCCCATAATTTAATCCTACCCCTCTCCCGAAAATCCCTAGCATTTACTTCTTTTACAACCCCATCTATAAATATATTAAACAACCATGGTGACATTACACATCCCTGTCTAAGACCTACTTTTACCGGGAAGTATTCTCCCTCTCTTCTACACACCCTAACCTGAGCCTCACTATCCTCATAGAAGCTCTTTACAGCATTTAGTAAATTACCACCTATTCCATAAACTTGCAACATCTGCCACATTGCTCCTCTATCCACTATCATATGCCTTTTCTAAATCCATAAATGCAATAAAAACTTCCCTACCTTTATCTAAATACTGTTCACATATATGCTCAATGTAAACACTTTTTGATCTAAAATCCCCTACCCACTCTGAAGCATCCTTGCTCTAGCATTATTCTACATTCTGCCTACCTCTAAATACTTTCAATTATAACCCTACCGTAGTACTTTTCCTGGATATATCTCAGTAAACTTATTCCTCATAAATTTTTACAGCATTTTGTCCCCTTTCCATATAATTGGAACATCATGCCCTTGCCAATCCCTATACCTTGCCCTCTTTCTAAATCTTTTAAATGCAAAATAAACCCCTCCTATCTAAATACGTTCCCATGCTTTTAAATTCTGCATGATCCACAGTACCACTCTGAAGCCTCCTTTCATTCCGCAATTCTCACGTCTTCACCCCCTTTAATTCTCTTCAATTATACCCTAAAATATGGTATACCTCTACTATCCGTGCATAATTTTAACTCCTCCCTTTTTCCTTCAACATTTAAAAGGCAATACATGTCTCGCCATCCCTAGGTACCTCCCCTCTTTCCTACTTGTTTTTAAACGGACAAATCCATAACTTTCCCCCTGCTTTTAACTTGTTTAATCACCCCAAATTTTTGCTTATTTCATTCTAAATTTCTTGACGTCGCCACTCACCCATCTCTTTATCTGCTCTCCTTTTGCCTCCTCGACCATTGCTTCTACGCCTCCTTTTTCAACTTAAATCCCAAATATTCTGCTCTACCTAACACTTCCCCTTCTGTTTAAAAACCTCTCTTCAAGCTTTCCTTTTTCTTTTAAATCACTCCAATTTTTCATTTCATTATTCACCAATCCTCTCCCCTCTTTCCTCCTCCGCACTCTCTATAACCACTCTCTCCACCATTCTATTTACTCCCCCCCATATACCTTTCTTCGTGTAACAGGCTGCTGTTTGCAAAATTTCGTATGCACTAATTTTCTCTATAAGAAATAATGCAAATCAATTATTTCCGTGCCAACACCCAAAAGTATAACCAAAAATTTTGCCCACATTTAAAAACAGTGGTCCCCCAAGATTAATCCAGCAAAGGTGGCTGATGAGCGACATGTTCTGGGATGCATTTTCCCCTGAAAACTGGAAATCATTTAATTTCGTCCCAAGACACCCATAAAGTTATGCACTAAAAATTTTAAACTCTGAAACCAACATTTGCCTAGCCCCTAAAATTAGCAATATGAGAGCTACTTTCCGGGGGCCCATTTTCCTTTTCCCTGGTGTAGTCCTGTTAGGTATTTTCTCCGAACAGGATTAAGGACCCTGGAATAAGATTTTAATCTCTCGAACACACTTTTTTGGGTTATCCCATTGAGTAGTTCAAGTTTTCCTCTGGGGTTATACTGTGTTTCATTGGGATCTCAATTAAGGACCCCAATGGAAATAAGTTAGAACAGTCTTCGAGCACAGACGATGGGTTACCCTGGGGCAAACCTCTGGGTTAATGTTTCTGAGATCTCAATAACCCACACAACAACGTGTACAGCACAGCAGCAGCTGACGATGCTACAGCAGCAACAGACGATGCTACAGCAGCAGCAGACGATGCTACAGCAGAAAGCTGACGATGTTACAGCAGCAGCAGACGATGCTACGGGCAGCACAGCAGTACGATGCTACAGCAGCAACAGACGATGCTACAGCAGCAGCAGACGATGCTACAGCAGCAGCACAGCTGACGGTGGTACAGCAGCAACAGACGATGCTACAGCAGCAACAGACGATGCTACAGCAGCAACTGACGATGTTACAGCAGCAGCAGACGATGCTACAGCAGCAGCAGCAGCTGACGGTGGTACAGCAGCAACAGACGATGCTACAGCAGCAGCAGACGATGCTACAGCAGCAGCAGACGATGCTACAGCAGCAGCAGACGATGCTACAGCAGCAGCAGATGATGCTACAGCAGCAGCAGCAGCTGTACCACCAATAGTAGCAATGGTTGATTTGGGTTTCTTGTACAACCTGGCCAGCTCGGAGACATGCACTCCACTTTCATACTTATCAATGATCTTTTTCTTCATCTCCATAGTAATTCTCACCCTTATTGCTGTAGGGTTGGCACTAGAAGCTTTCTTGGGGCCCATGGTCACTTATTTTCCAGAAAAAACCACCAAAAACACTGTAATAATACGAAATGTTCCGATTGTATGCTTGGATGTTACCGCGGAGGCTGGCTGGTAAACAATGCCACCGGCGGAACATGTGAGCGTGGCTCAGGCCGCACATTGGACGCGTCTCGGACGAAGGGCGGTGAGCGGGTTTTTGGGCGGTATGCGAGGCAAAATTTTTGTGATCAAAGCGTCCGGTATGCGGATTGTACGGTATGCGATGCGTCTGGTATGCGGGGGTCCACTGTACTGCATTTTTAAAACTATTCCAACCCTCTTCAACCCCCCCACTACTCATCTTTGCACTAGCCCACCTTTCTGCCAATAGTCGCTTATATCTCACCCTGAACTTCCTCCTCCCTTAGTTTATACACTTTCACCTCCCTCTTACTTGTTGTTGCCTAATTTATATATATATTATATATTTTTGTTAATAATTTTCTTTTATATTGACAGTATGACTATGAAAGCCGTTTCGTTGATGGGACGAAGTATTAAGTACACATGGATGACCCTGACAGTCATGTCCGAGACTCTTATTCTCGAATTATGATGGAAGCCACTCCAGATAGTTCTTCTGGCCATTGTTCCAAAAGCTCATCCTCTGGCAAATAACCATGCTGTTCGAGTTCTTGCTTCTCCATTCTTCCGTCGTACTACTTGCCTTATTTACCAAGAGGACGCTCACTATAAAGGAGATATTACCAAGGACGCTTGCAAACTCCCTACTGCAACCTATTGTCATATGGGGGGTGTTATATCTTTGAAATTGGTCATCCTGTGTTATTTAAATATTGTAAGAGCATATGTTCATCACTTAATATTATAGCGCGAAAGTCCCCATTTATAGCTAAAATAGAGACTTTCGGCGTTATATTATTATCTGTTAATATATGAAAAATACCATGGTATTATCACTATTTTTGTTATTATCACTATTTTGTAATTATCACTATTATTATTATCACTATTTTGTAATAATAGTGATAATCACTATTATTTTACTATTATGGTTAGGTAGGATTTCTTGTGTATATAGAGTTTAAGTCTCGGAACCATCCGGTGAATTGTTCAGTTGTTCATGTCCGGCTGGCTGACGTGGCTCAGCTGATCCGACCTGACGACACGTCAACAGGCTGGCAAGTAGTGAGTCTGCTCCCAGCTCTAGCCCTGACAACTGATCGTATATTGGCTCTTACGGTGTACAGTTGAATGGTTTTGAGAATTGGACTATAGAGCTGACTCAATTTGTTCCTCATTACTTTGAAAGACTCTTTTGATATTTATATTCTTGGTCAGTTCAGTAATTCATAGAGATACTATACGGCCAGATTCAAAGGTCTTGTTAAATCTTGTACCTTTTGTATTTTGAGTCTACAGTCTTGTTAAGAATGAGACGTAAATATTAATGAGGACTTAGATACAGGAAGAATAATTAAACTTCCTTATTAATATGACATTTCCATGATTTGGAGCTCAATGTATATGGTAATTTTATTGTACAAAGTATTAAGTTAAATTAACTACAAAGAGAAGATAAAGTATTGTATTTAAATACTTTAATAAATTTGAATATTATTCTATGGAGTTTCCCAGTTGAAATTATTTCCCCTAGACTCTAAAAGACATTTAAAGAACTCGGATCCAAAAATCTTGTTGCATAAGAAATAAATGGTAACAGGCCACATTCTGAAGTTCTTTAAAAAATTTCTTATTCGCAACACCAAGAAGAAAAAGACTTTCCACTGGCAATAAACCATAAACAAATACCTCTAAAAGAAAATTTTACAAGCCCTCAGATTAAGATCAATACATACCCGTGAGAAATGGACAGCTTCAGAGTTACCATAATCAATACAAAGGACTTCCACTCTTTCTTCATATATATTTTTGACTAAGGCTCTATACCACCACGAATCTTGTGAGCTCTGCACAATGCATGGCATTCCAACAGCAATTTCAGCAGGAGCCTGCAAGATAATTAAATGTCATCAATATGGTACCAAACTTCATTCAGTTACCAATGCACAAACTCACTTATTATGGACATAAGTAAAAGAAGGAAATGCTAGGGTGTTGGGGAGAGTGGTGGGATTAAATTACGGGGAATCAAATACAAAATGTGAGTTGACACAGTTACTTTTTGCTGATGATACTGTGTTTCTGGGATATTCTAAAGAACAGGTGCAAAGATTAGTGGACAAGTTAGGGAGGGCATGTAAAGGTTAAAAAGTTGAAAGTGAACATAGATAAGAGTAAGGTGATGAGGGTATCAAACGATATAAAATTGATGAAGAAAAATTTGATACCACATTGGAGGGAGGGAGTATAAAAGAAGTGAATGTGTTCAGATATCTGAGAGTTGACTTGTCAGCAGATGGGTTTATGAAGGATGAGGATAGCCACAGAACTGACGAAGGAAAAAAAGGCAAGTGGTGCGTTGAGGTATCTGTAGACAAAAAACATTATCCAAGGAGGCAAAGAGAATGAACAAGAGTATAGTGGTATGCGTGTGAAGCATGGGTTTTAAATGCAGCAGCAAGGAGAAGGCTGGAGGCAGTGGAGATGTCGTCTAAGGGCAGTGAGTGCTGTAAATACAGCCTCTCCTCACTTAACCCTTTCAGGGTCCGTCCCGTAGATCTACGGCTTTACGTTCAGGGTCCAAACCGTAGATCTACGCCAAAATTCTAGCGCCGTCAAATTTAGCACGAGAAGGCTGGTAGGCCTACATCTAAGAGAATGGGTCTGGGTGGTCAGTGTGCACACCATAGAAAAAATCTGGACACCCACATGGCATTGTGGGAACGCTGGCAAAGTAGCTTTGTTCATAATGCCTGGCGGCAAGGAAGCTCTCACTCCCCACTCACTCTCCGGGCGAATTCTGACTCTCCTCTTCACAACTTACAGTTCTAAGACTGATGGAAGTGGAGCTGAAGATGAATTCTATGGTTTTGAACCATATGGTGCTATTGTGCCATATGGTACAATGGTACCATATAGTACAATGGTACCATATGGTACAATGGTGCCATGTCATACAATGGTATCATATGGTACAATGTACCATATAGTACATTGTACCATATAGTACATTGTACCATATAGTACATTGTACCATATAGTACATTGTACCATATGGTACAGGGTACAGGGACCCTAATGGAAATAAATCTGACTTTTTTGGGTTATCCTAGGTTCTAGGTTAGAGCAACTGCTCAAGAAGAAATTTTTCGCCTAGCTGGTAGTAATAAGTTATCACAAGTTATATACACTGATGGATCTAAACAGGAGTCTTCTGGCAGGGCTGCATCTGCTCTTGTTGCCACCTCCCTAGTTAAGAACGATAATAAATTTGTTGAGTTAGGCATAAGAATTAACAACTGGGCATCTACACTGCAAACTGAATTGTTTGCAATCCTAATGGTGCTAAAGCTAACCTATGACACTGAGCTTGATTCTATCATCATTACTGATTCTATGTCATCATTGAAGGATCTTGGCTCATATAATGACTCCAACAACATGCTCATTGGGGAAGCCAGGTATAGATACTCAAAAATTAGGGACAAAGGAATTAATGTACAATTGCTATGGATCCCATCACACATTGGATTACTCCTTCATGATAAAGTTGATATGTTAGCCAAGAAGAGTATCCAGAAGGAGAACGTAGAATATAACTTTGGTATAACTGTGTCTACATTAGGAATAATATTAGGAGGGGAAGTAAATAATGAAGATGATTGTTATGGGAATGCAGTTAGAAGCCTGAGTAGATCTATAACCCACTATGATAACATGAACGTAGATAAGTATGTTTATGGAGCAACTTGCAATGTGAACAGACTGACTGATGTTGTAGTGGCCAGGCTTAGGCTTGGTTACAAGTACTTCTGGCAGTTTGGGAGACACACAGATGATGATCAAACTAAATGTAAATTATGTGATCAGGCATATGGTCACTCTCTTGAACACTATGTGCTTAATTGTCCACTTATTGAGGAATACAGAGACAGACAGTATAATAACCTATGTGACATGTCAAGGTATCCATATGTATTCCTGTTAACCCTTTGGGGCCTAGTTCCTAGGCCTTTTGTGTATCCACATGCTCTCGCGCTACCGTCCACAGGATGGATATGGGGTGCACAATAAACTAGCCACTTCGGTGGCAAAATCTAAAATCTAAATCCAAACATATGCTGCTAAGTATGATATTCTATGTAACTTTATTTGTGTATAACTAAATAAACTTACTTATGATGCCACATGCACTTTAAGTTTATTCAGGTGTACAGAAATACAATTACATAGATTATCATACATAGCAGCATATGTATAAAATCCTAGGATAACCCAAAAAAGTCTGGGTGACTTACTTCCATAGTTATCCCTGTATCTGTACCATATGGTGTCCTGTACTGTATGGCAACCTGTACCATATGGTACAGGGTATCTGTACCATATGGTGTCCTGTACTGTATGGTACCTTGTACCATATGGTATCCTGTACCATATGGTACCTTGTACTATATGGTACCCAGTACCATATGGTACCTTGTACCATATGGTACCCTGTACCATATGGTACCCTGCACTGTATGTTATCCTGTACTGCATGGTACCCTTTACCATATAGTACAATGTACCATATGGTACCCTGTAACATATACCGTGTACCATATGGTCAATAGGTGTTTTTGGCACGAGACACCAGCCAAGACTGAGTGAGTGGCGACGCAAGCTAGCTACTGACTCACAGTTTCCCAGACAAAGTGCTTTGTCATCCACCTCAAGGAACACGTAAAGTTCCTGTACACTTGTAAATATATAATAGAACATTACTAATATACAACATTTTTGCATATTTTTATTGTAAACAACTATTGTAAACAAAATAATAATGAAAATATTAGTGTGTTTGTGTTGAATACAACAGTACCATATGGTACAATGAACCATATGGTATCATTGTACTGTATGGTACAATGTACCAGATGGTCCCATTGCATCATATGGTACCATTACACCATGTGGTACCATAAGGCACCATTGCACCATATGGTACCATTGTACCAAATGGTGCCATTCTACCATATGGTACCATTGTATCATATGGTACCATTGTATCATGTGCCATATTGTACCATATGGTACCATTGTATCATATGATGCCATTGTACCATATTGTACCATTGCACACCATGGTACCATTGCACCCTATGGCACCATTGTACCCTATGGTACTATATGGTACCATTGTATCATGTGCCATTGTACCATATTGTACCATATGGTACCTATATCACTCTCTTATTTACCCCTATCTCACCTATGGAATTTGTGCATGGGGCTCAACAACAGTAACCACTCAGACACTAATTACCCAACAAAAGGCGCAGTTAGAATGATAACAAATTCTCACTACGGCAGCACACCCCACCAATTTTCAATCACTCAACCTACTCCCCATACAAAACTCCATACTTTTACTGCACCTATTACTACATAAAAACACTCAACTCTGATATTAACCCTCCCCCAAAACCCCTTCCCAACCCAACAAAAACAATGACCAAAACACAAGGCACAGATCACCTTTGATATTCCTGTGCCATCTCCCTATGCAAAAACTAAATGCACATAAAAGGCCCAAAAAATCTGGAATTCATTCCCTGTAAATATAAAAAAACACCGTTTATAAATTCAAATTTTCTCAAGATCACTTACTCACCCCAAAAAAACCCAAAAAAATACTGGAAAAAACGAACCCTTTAAATTTTTAAACTTAAAGTTTCTCACAAATTTATTACAAAAAGTTAAACCTAAAAAACCCCAAACTAACTTTATTATTTTTAAAAAACACTACCTAACAAATACTCCATTCTACTGAATTTAAACAATGCATGCAACCTATGACCCCGTCTTTGTAAACTCACTTTTGCTTTTTGTAAACAGTTTCTTAATGTTTTTTTAGGGTTCATCATTGTTAGTTTTTAACTTAAGTTTAATTTTAAACCAGCCCCTAACATGTAGATAAGGGCTTTTGGGATGCCTCTTATCTTATTTTTTTTGTATCTGTAAGTGTGCCAATTTTAAAAAAAAATAAATAAATTTGTTCTATGTGCCAAATTTTTTCAATGGGACCATTGCACCCTTGGCATCATTGTACCATAGTTACTAAATTTTGGGACCGTTGTATTAACCAATAACTGCACTTTTAAATTTTTTTCATTTTGTTTACAATAAATTTATAAACAATTTTTTAACAATATAAAGATAAACAAATTAGTGCTTTTTTTGGTAATACAATGAGGTACACTTATACAAATACAATAACTGGCTCAAGGCCCCCAAATGTTATTAGAAAAAGAAAAAAATTAAAAAAAAGAAAAAAGTATAAAAAACATAAAATAAAAAAAATGGGATTTTGCAGAAGTCACTAATGTTGCCGCCACCCGGTCATTTTGGGTCAACTTCCCACCGCTGTAGCTCGGCAAGTACTGATCAGAAAAAACTTTTCTTTTGTCGTATTACCTTCACAAAAATATACTCTTTAATTCTGTAAGAAAAATTTTTTTTTTTTTTTTCAAAATTTCTTGGACACTGGAGCACCACTTCAGATTTTGGCCTTGGACCCTGAAGGGGTTAATGACGGCGTTCCGTTTCGAAGACCATGTAGGTAAATGAATTCGTCGATAAGTGAGGAGCATACTATAATGGTAGTGGGTCGGTTTGTGCCAAGATCTTGCTCTTGGGGGATTTCAACTTAAGGCACCTAAAATGGAGGAATACAGCAAATAATGTTGCAGCAGTGATAACACCAGGAGGCAGTTCAGACGAGAACTCTCACGCACACAAGCTTTTAAATCTCTGCACAAAATTCAACAGCCAGCGTGTCAGCGTGCCTCGTTGTGCTCCCGGTTTTCTCGTGTTTTCACGGTCGCTCTTACGTGCTAGAACTTTATTT